CCCCAAAACCCCAAAACCCCAAAACCCCGAGATCTCTAAGATCTATAATAAAATAAAAATGAGTAAGCGGTCTCTCACCGTCATTTTGTGTGAACGCAAGGGCAAGATTGTGCACTCCAAAACCAACTCAGTCAACTCCAAAAGAAGACTCAAGAAGAACAAAGATATTGAAACCAGTATGATACATAACTTGTGTCTAGAAATTTAGACCCTCACGTTTGTGTGGGCAAGCACTAGCAGATTTTATACTTCTACTGATTCCTATTTCGCTTAGTCTCTAATTATAAATTGTAGTCCTGAACATCAGTAATAATATGATAGTCTCAAGGATCGATTCCTTGAAGCCTGGGTCTAAATCTAGAAATAATGGTAAGATTATGGCCTGAATAGCCTTTATACAGACTGTAAGTTAAAAGCAAATAAGACTAACGTTTCAATGAATATGTCCACTTACGACAAGCAGATGCTTCCCAATTGTTCCCAGATAAAGGCAAGCATGGCTCCATTAATCTGTTTAGAAGTGTAAGAACATTATCCAGCTCAAGAAGAGGTTAGTGTGCCCTAATTTTTAGGAAATAAACAACAGAGTAACATTAAGTCCAATGTTTCCAATAATGAAGAGTTGCTCGCTCCAGATCCTCAGATGCATTATCAGAAATAGCCCCTCAATCTGTAGCTTAGACAATGAGTTGCCGTCTGCTACGCTGAAGACACCTCATAAGATTTACTCCAAAAAGAGTGTCAATAGTTTGAACCTGTCAAATTCAAGAGCCAAGATGGCTAGAAGAAGGATGAACAATAAAACCGTTGTTCTGAATAAAATTCCAAATTCCAAAAATAAACCCTCAAATTTGCTGAAGCAAAATACAGGAAAGAAGTAAGCCTGGCAGGTCAAAACATTTAGACCCATCAGCAATGAGTTTAGTTTTGGGTTCACTCCCTCTGGCTCTGGGACCTTTAGCCCCTCAATCTTCAATAAGGCACTTGAGTTCGAGCGCAAGTCCTTACAAGATATAGAGAAGTATGTTAGAAGAAACAGGAAGGCTGTTTTGCAAAGGAGTCATCAAGCATCTCCTCCAGAGATCATGCTGAAGGCAGAACCCCAGAAGGAAGAAATTAAGGAGCCCATTATTGTTGAGCCAGGTATCCCAGTAAAAACAGTAAAGTTCAGTTAACCATTTAGGCTGAAAATGATCCAAGGAATGAGATCCAGAAAATAAAAATAGAAAAACTAGTTGACCAAAATAATTCCAGGCTTAAGACCAAGAAATTGATGATGATGCTTAACAGAATCATTCTGAGCAATGATTCGAAAATTATCCAGATTCTTGAGGAGAACAAAAATTCTCGATCAAGTCCTTACTCAAGGAACAGCAAAATGGCCAATAGGCTTGCCATGACTCATATCGAGAAGGAGAAGACAAGCCTACTGATGCCAAAGAAAAGCACAATGTTTATGAGCAGACTCAAAGAGAAGAGCATGAATTCATTGACTCTCAAGTTTGACCAAGAAGCCAGTCCAAATTTAGCGAATATTGGAGGATCTCCTGATCCAAGTCAAACTCTGAGAGAAGATATCTCTGAAGAGAGTTCTTCTTTCTGCATGAGCGAGTCTGAAAGCCAATCTTCTTGAAGTATTAAGGCCGCTAAGATATTCAAGTGAGTTAGTTCTAATTTGTCTAGTACGAAGACCAGTAACCAATCTGAGGTTTTCAAGAATCTACAGCTCAGCCAATTCAAGACTTCTATGACAAGAAGTGAAAATCTAAAGAAGAATGAGACTGCCTCTGATAAAATAGAAGACTCTTTTGAAAACGATTCTCCATCAATTGGAAATGCTCCAGGTATCAAAATTCTGGACAAATTTTACACTCATGAGGAGATAGAACAAAATTTCCATAAAATAACTGAAAAGTATACATCTAAAGATCTAGAAAAACACACAGAAAACTCCAAAGGTATCACCAAGGGTCATTTCTACCCCTCTTTCTCCATTCCCAAGGCCATGTCCTTCCATAATCCCCCTCTTTCACCCTCCTTGCCCCTTTAATTTCCCCTATTTCCCCCAAAATTCCCTTCTTGTCCCTCTAAAACTCCCACTGGCTCTACTAAATTCTAAAATTTATAGGCAGCCCAAGCGAGACTGATGAATTCAGTGAAGAAAGTAAGAATTTTTAGCTGAAATTTTGAAAATTTGAATTTATGTGACTGGGATTTTAGAGTTGTTGAAGAGAATTGAGGGGATGAAGAAGAGGAGAGCAGAGTCGTTAGGGATGGTGACAAGGTTGTTAACAAAAATCGACGAGCGCAAGCACCTTCTCACCTCCAAAGTTCGCTTCCCTCTAAATCTCATAGGCCCAGCTGAAGCTGGCTAAAATTCCTCCCAAAGTCCAAGGTACTCCTTGCCTCACTTTCAGGTCTCAAGTACATATTTGACCAGTTCATCAGCCAGTTCGAACAAGAGTCTCCCGAAAATGCCAAATTGATCAAATAAGTTGTGGAACAACTTACTTTCTGAACTAGACGGGGTGTCCAATGAGGAGGTTTATGAAGGATTTGGGATTATAGAGGAGGTTGATAGGGACGTGGAGTTACTGGTGAGAGGGTGTAGGCAGGATATTGATACTTTTGAAAGACAGAATCAAGAGATGGTTGAGGTTTATAAGTAAATATGTTGATTGTAAGGAGAAATTGGATATGTCAGCACAGATGTGTAGGAAAGAGAAGAGTCTGAAAGATGTATGGAGAATTTGTCTAAGATGTAGGAATACCTGAGTCAACTAGTTGAGTTCAAGGTAGTTCTTCGTTAATCCGTAGGACCAAGTGTACTCGTTTATTCCAAATTATGATAAGATTGTCAAGGGGCCTCACAGAGTTTCTGTACCTACCTCTGAATCTAACACATATTTCAGTAGTTCTTCACAGGAAAATTATTTAAAAGTGATATTGGGTATAACTCCATAGATAATCGACACAAATTTGAAACAACTGAATATGTACAAGGAAGCATGAGAGTAACATAATTGGCTTAGAATAGGTACCTCAAGAAAGATTGTAGCAGACTCAGCCGGAAAAACTCAACTTTGTAAGCTTGGAATAAGAATTTTGTTCACAAGTTGGCTTTCTAACTGATTTTGATATAATATTTTATTCCTTCTGATATTTTACGAATGTTCTACAACTAGGCTTGTCAACAGTGGCTATTGTTTAATATCGATTTAATGTTACATTTGTCATATATTTCCCTCAAATTTCGATGTAGAAAAGAAAAACTGAAAGAGGAAATGGAAAAGATCGAAAGACTAGTAAATTTCAGCTTAATTTATTAGACTGACGAGAAAAGAGTACTTCTAAGACAACAGAAAAGTAAGATCTTCGATATTTCGTACTCTGATTATCTGAGTAAATAACCTCATTTCTTAATGCATCATTTAGAGAAAGGTTCTAACATTATGATAGATCAAGTAAGTACCAATACTACATGTAGGAAATTCAGGTAGAGACCTATGTTCAGCATGAGCAGAGTCCAGAAGACGTTAAGGAAGTCATTTAAACATACAAGAGGTACTGCAGCTTGATTTTCCTCCAACTTAAGTCCCTCATATTGCTTTTGAGGGCTAGAGTCAACGGCAGTTCTAATACTTTGTAAGAATGTTAGCATTTATGATATCTTGTGATTTTATTATTTTGAAATTTTAGGGGTTTTGGGGTTTTGGGGTTTTGGGGTTTTGGGG